TGAGTGTTCATCCTTCCCTGCCCCTCCACCGTATTGCGTCCCGCCCCGACTACATGGTTGTATCCGGTTTCAGAGGATTGTGCAGTAGTTCGGCGGACCAAAAAAATACATGTTTCCGGGGTTATTTGTACAACGTCTTGCATGCACTCGTCTTTCACAGCAGCCAAACCCGAATACACCGCCATAATGAACATACGCAAATCGGAATCTAGTATGAAACAGGCACACATCTAGAGGTAACGAGTCTGCGGCAGCGCTGGTTCGTAATCCTCTCGCCTCGTACGAACTTCTCCCTCCCGCAGGCCGCCGGGTGCGAGGTCGGCGAACCCGAGGACGTAGAGTTCGCGGGAGTGCCGCTCTCCATGGGGCCGCGGGTTGTGCTCGAGCCGTCCTTCGCGACGAGCACGGCGGACCTCCGCGCGAAGGCTGGCCGAGGGGTGAAGATCTCCTCGAGGAGGTCTGTTGCCACGCACAGCTGCTGCTGTTGCGGGTTGATCCACTTTTTTGGTGGCTGTTGCGGGAGAACTCTTAAATTTTTTGTGTGGGGTTTATCATCAGTGTGCTGTTGGCAGCGACGTCGAGTCAAGCAGGCCTTGAAAATCAGACTTTATAAGTTTCCCTTGGTTTTTGCGCCGTGCATTTGACTTGTGACAGCAGTCCCAACTCCACACCAATGTCTCTCTCCGCCACGATCAACACTGCTATGCGTAGGGCATTGTCATATTACGCAAGATCATCACAGGATGACGGCGGGTATGTCGCCCTGTATCCCCCGCCGCCCCCCGTCTGTCCTGCCACCCCCGGTGTTTTCGAAACGGGTGTGCTCGTTCCACACGGGGTAGGTTTTGTACGTTTGTTGTGAGGCGTTCCTCGCACCACTCAACTATGACAAGAACCACTCGACCCGACCTTACAATCCGCCGCTGACGCTACTGTCTCCCGGCTGGCGCGAAATCTAGGGCTCGACATTTATCGCGGAACGTAGACCCCTGCCCATTCCGCACGTACTAGTTTAGTCTTCCGCCCTCCGTGAAAAACCTCCAACGTTGCTGTTTGTTTTGTGTTCGCCAGCACCCTCGTGCTAGAGGGAGAGGGCCTTCACCTCGAGGGGCTCGAGCTGGACGGGGCTCTGGTGATCAAGGCGGCCCCCGGCGCGAGGGTGTCCGTGCGGGGGCTGAAGGTCTCGAACGAGGGTTGGGTGATGGTCCCCCTCCCGGAAGACTTGTCGCAGGTTTCGGAGGAGGATAGGTGAGGCGGGGTGGGTGGGGTGGTTCGGAGGAACACGTTACCGTCCGCGTGCAAGCCGGCAATTTGATTTTGGGGATGAGGGGGGTTGGTGAACTGACGGTGTGTGGGTTGGTCTGCAAGCGGGAGTGAAGTGTGCGTGTTGATTGCCCGGGTGTGTGCGCGAGGGGCGTAATCTGTCCTCCGTGTTGTGTTATACGGTTTTCAAGGCCGACGATAATAGGCTTGGGGTTTCGTGGAGAGGCTGCCGTCGTTTTTGCTCGGGGGATCGGTGGTGATCTCCTCGATGAAGTGACGGCCTTGGGGTATCGTGGAGAGGCTGCCGTAGTTTTTGCTTGGGGGGATAGGTGATCCCCCTCCATGAGGTGACAGCCGGGGAAGAGGGTTTGCCACCACCGCTGTGCTGGTGTAGCAGCCCTTATTCGACCTAACGTATGGTCTTGGTGTGATCCTCGGATCCCGATGCTAGCCGGCCCTCCTATATTGAAGACCATCCGTCGCGTGTGTGCCCCGTATGTTCCGAGCTAACGCGCGATGAACTCGTCCCCCTTCCGACCGCTGTGTTCTTCTTGTTTGTCCCGTGTGCTGCTGGTATTGGCGCGGGACTGGGGCTGATCACGTGGCTAGCAGGGTACGAGGGTACCTGATAGAAAAGAAGGCCACGAAGCTGATCGAGGTCACCGAACCGGGGGATTGGCTCGTCGGCGTCGAAGGCGACGTGTCACAGGTGCGAGACACCTTACCACCCAGATTCGCTGTAGCTTGTACACCGCGCAGTCCCCGCGGTCTGCGCCGATCGTGCTGCACGTCGCTGCCGTATCTCGGCATGTCAACAGCTGCAACGAGGGTGCCGAGGTCTCCCCGTACGGGTTGGCAGATCGAGCGCTGCGGTATGATCTCCACAGTACCCGGGAAAGAGAGAGTCATTGACGAACCGCTTCGGAGAGAACATGTTTCCACGCGTTCATTGGGTGCTTCCGCCCTCCTTTCAGGAGCAACACTCGAGAACGCATGCAACTCAATCAACCCTCGGCTTGATCGGGGGGGGGTTGTGGGCCTTAGCATTTACCAAGCGTACACAGTCGGCCGCATCTTGGAATCCGCGCACAAGATCGAAGCAGGTTTTGGTTTGGTGCGTGATGGCACTCGTGCCCGGAAGACGGCGCGCGATCGCAACCGTCCTAGACTGGCTTTCATGGCTCGAATGCCCGTGAACCGGGAGGGAGCGAAAGCCGACCGGCGTACGCAAGGAACACTCTCGACGAGATCGCGTCCAAATCCGCCCTCTTGGGGAGAGGCACCGTCTTGGTTGTGGACCAATCGGGCTATGAAACCGGTCGACGGGGAGTGATTTGTGGAACAATCGGGCTATGAAACCGGTTTACGGGGAGTGGTTTGTGGAATATTCGGGCTATGAAACCGGTCTACGGGGAGTGATTTGTGGAACATTCGGGCTATGAAACCGGTCGACGGGGAGTGCTTCTACTCGCCGGTTTACTGTTGGTCTCCGTGCGGGTTTTGCCGAGCCTGGAATTGGCGTTTCGGCGTCCCTCCCGAGCTTTGCCGTAAACCTTCCTTGAATTACACGCCAGCCGGGTGTAACGGTTTTTGGTATTTCGCTTCCAATAAATTGTTTTGAAGAATGTTTCGGAATTTGCCCAGTGACAAAAGAGGACGTTGGACCAGGGTTTTCAAATGAAGACCTCCGTTCGAACCCCATGGACGGGAGGAATCGAGGTTTGGTGCCAAGCCGAACCTGTGAAAGCAACAATTTGTTGTGGAAAATAATGGCCTGATATTTCCTCGAAGATACAGCACAAGATGTTGCCGGAAATCAGGATCTGCTCGCGCGAGGGGAATATGAATATATATAGGTGCTTCTTTCGTCCAGTCCGCGGGGTCCCCCTGGCGTGCGTACCGTGATTCGTATTGGTGGATGTCCCTTCATACCAAAAGTATTGAGGCGCGACTTTGTGCTCCATCACGTGTTTCCACGAGCAACAAAGCTTTCCGACGATGAATTGCGTACCACCCGGGTAACATACGTCAAGTCACTCGGAACAAGTTGTTGAGCGGTCTTGGAAATGTCGAGAAACTCAACCAGATGAACTAGTACGTGAGGGCGTAGCATGGAGTACCATTCCTGTTCAGGTTTTGTCGTCGCCTCACTCTTGTCGGCAAGTGAACATGGTCGACTGTCAATGTGTTCGACGAATTGCCAACAGTCATCTTAAATCACTTAATCACCAAGCTCTCCGTTGACGCTCTTGATTGGCTCGCGTGGCAGGTACGCTTTGATGTTGTCGAGTAAGCGCGGACGTCCAAGGGAAAATGTGGTCCATCGGTTCGAACAACGTTGTTTGTGCCAAGGTCCGAAGGTGGAATCAGCTTTCCAACTGGCTGGTTCAAGTCATTGGCAGAATCAATACCATCTGCAGAATCGACAGTATGTGCAGCGGTACTAAATTGAAATGAACCCTTACTGGATCTGAACTGGCGAAAAGTATTTAGTAGATCTGTTGCGGGTCATGAGTTGATGATCTGTGGGATTTACCGCAATACGCGAGAGTTTTTGAGGGTGCGCCGGAGCCTACAACATGCTTTTGCCAGAATGGGGCTATTGGGACGCGATGGTTGCAGCAGAGGCTTGAGATGCCAGTCCGTCACGCTATTCCAGTCTTGTCCGTTCATGATATGGATGTTGCGTTTTTTGTCTTGTCAAATACCAATCTGGATCTGATAATGATAAGCTATATCGTGCGGTTGTGTCCCGAACAGCAACAGAGAAAAAGCCACTACTGTATCCTAATGGCAGTCCTCTCGGCACGCCAATGTAGGGTTGGTTGTTGAAGGCACGGTGGTCCCAATGCCACCGGTGACTCGGGCCTGCTTCGCACACTTCCTATTAATAGAGCAGCTATTAGAGCAGAGTGGGCTGTAGGCGTTGAGCCAAGCGTAATTGCAGGTAAGTTGCAGTCAAGCAGATGTGATCTGCACGGGTTAGTTGGCTGCTTGACTCCGCTGCTACAAACAGCAAGGAGGCTTCGGCCGGTTAGGTAGGCTCACTCGCACTTTGATTGCACAGAGTTGAAGCGAGAACGAGAGCAGCAGGTGTCGCAGTACCATGTGCAAACGTTGCAGCAGTCTTCCGTCGTCTGTTAAAGTGCTAAAGTAGGACAGTGGAGTTGCAGTGGGGTTACGCAAAGGCCCGTTTATTTTTGGCCGTGTTCAGGGGTGGCCACGCCTCAGGACGTCACACTGTAGTGTGCACGCCGCCGTCTTCTGTTTACTCATGGACACGGGAAGCTACTATTACAACAACTGCCGGTTGGTGACACCACAAACATGTGAAGCGGTGTCAACAAGCGCCGGGCACCTCCAACATACGGAATACACCAGATGAAGCGTTCCTAGCAAGAATCAGTGTACTTTGCGTGCAGTCGCTAGGTGGGATGCACTCAATCAGAGGTAGGACGTATTCGCTGGAGTCCAGCTGACGGAGGAAGCCCACAGGGCGTTCAAAGAGCATGCGCCGGCGAAAAACCGCGATTATCCCGCAGTTCGCGTGCAACAAGCATCAACGGGTGTGTCGTCAACGGGTAGTTCACCAGGTAGTTGAGCCGACGAACCCAACATCGTCTTGAAGTCACCGCGCACTCACACCGACGACAACGTTTATCCCCCAAATACATAGTCGGACAGCTACTCAGAAAGGCCAACGTGTAAATCATGCGATCAACCTGAAGCAACGCGAACTAAACCTCTCCCCTGTGAAACCCTACAGAAAAGACGTTTTCCTCGTCCATCATAGAAGAACACGCCCTCGCTGGAAGAACTTTCCGGCCGCAAAACCAGAGATTCTCCAGGCATTCTGGCCACCTGACGCCATCGATCGGTTGCTCGAAACAGTTCCCCATATAGAGATGTCGCAGCAAGTTTGGTCACACTACGCCGGTGATGGACTGGTTGAACGCTTTCCCGAACGAAAGCTTCTGGAGGGAGGTCGGCCACACTACTCCGGCGATGGGTTGATCGAAGTGGCTGCTTACGAAGACGAGCTGTTCCAGCGATGACGCCGACGAGATACTGTCAATGGGTTGGTCGAACTCGCGTCCGAAGGTGAGCTCCCCCAGTGACGCTGGCCACGATACCATTTTGATCGGTTGGTTAAATACGTGTCCAAACACGAGGCGTAGCAGCGACGGTGGCCATTTGACGTTAATTGGCTGGTTGAAGTTGCTGCCTCTCAATATTTTTTTGAAGAAGGTAAGCTGTTCCAGCGATGATGCCCACGAGATGCTTTCAATGGGCTGGTTGAAATCACGCCCGAAGGGAAGCTCTCGCAGTGACGTTGACCACAACACCCTTTCAATCGACTGGTTACATTTCTCTCCAAAGGCGAGACGTCGCAGCGAGGGCGGCCATTTGACCCCGTGAATCGGCCGGTTAAAGCTATTCCCGAACGGCAGGTCGAGGAGTGACACTGCCCATGAAACATTGTCGATCGGCTGATTGAAGTCGTACCCGAATTCAAGCTGTTGAAGGGTCTTGGGCCATTTGACGCGGTTAACTTGGCGGTCGAAGTCCCACCTACAAGTCAGCCGACATAGCGATGGTGGCCACACCAACTTATCGAGGTTTTCGTTCAAAAAATCGCCACAGTTCAGATGCGCCACTCTAGCGAACACGTCTCCGGTACAGTTCAGCGACGAAGCGGGCAGCTCCCACGTCACCTTGCTCGGTCGGAAGCCCGGCACTCGCGCCGATTTCATCCTCTTGCCACTGCTCCCTGTGGCCTCATCGGTGGTGCCACTAGCCCAGAGGCGAGCCGGCGCGTCCTCGTGCACCAAGTGCAGCGTGGACACGTTCCTGCAAGCCGTGCAGAGCCGCAAGGATGCGAGCTGGAGTTGTTCGTCGACGTGTACCACGTCTCGTCGTCGCTGGCATGGCTGATGGCCACGTCAGAGGCTTCCAAACATCGGCTGCCATCTGCGACCGTGCAACGGCATTGCGTGCAAAAGTGGAAAAACCAAGTGGCATCGATCTTGTGGCAGGGGATTGGGGTAGGGCTGGTACTTGAAGCTCGAGTACTCGCAAAGTTGCCAAAGAGGACACTCTTCTAGTTCTTGTTGCCGAACCTGTCTTAGAGCTGCGTGCTACACTAGTGCCGTCACTGACAGGGACGTAGCCTTGTATGGCGGAAATTAAATCTCCGAAACACGCCAAACTCGCGTCCAGTGTGAGGCACAACATCCATGATAAGGGATTATTCCTACAATGCTAAAGAATTGCCGAGTGGTGCGTACGGAAATCGAAGAAAGAGTATCACGCTCCCAACACCTGCCATCAACGTCGAATGGTTACGAGAAGACGCCTCTCGATGGACTCTATTCAGAGGTAGACTCACGAGTGTTTCGTCTTCCTTGATTCCATTCTCGAGATCCGCATTAAACAGTAAAACAGGTCGTCTGGCTTCAAGGGCGATTGGTGCGTGGCCAGGCAAGGTATGCCAAAAACTACTGCTTCTGCCCGTTGAATCAGTAGGACAGCCGCTATTGACTCTACACGCCAGGGAACTGTGTGCTCTACAAATTGCTTGCAATATAAGTTGCGTACGATACACCCCGCAAAGCTCTACTGTACGCCCACAACCGAAGTAGGGGGTGGTGACCTAGAGGAAGGTGTGGCAATTTGCTACAGAACATACCTCCACCGGGAAAAGCGGCGGCACTTGCAACCTGGGTTTGCCCTCCGTCATTGCCCGGTCGACCCGGGGAGTGGTCCATTTCGTCCAAAACGACTGTTCTCAGGCAGCAATGCCTTGGAAGGTGTCTTGATTGTACGGCAAGCGCGATCTCGTGCAGAGGCACCCGAGTCCTTCAGACGATGTATCTCACGCTTGCTGAAGTATTGCCTAGCACGTCATCGTCGTCAAATGGGAACAAGGTGGGGGTGAACAGCAAACATGTTGCTTATGAGGACCTGGTTGACCGCATGCCAGCAATGGGTACAACTAGAGCACATGTCGTGGCAGTGCGTTTCATGAATGATGCGCGTGTACGTTGGACGTATAGGTTCATGTGTGGAGTCTATTCAAGGGGCCCTCCCCGTGGAAACCAAGGAAAACCCCCAGGCTACACGTCAATCTCGTCCGCGAGGGGGTGGTAAACGTATATACCCCGGTATTCATCGGGTTTCAGAGTACGACACTTAGCCTACGTATATAAAATGAAGAGTATATATAGAACACACTAAATCCCATACAGCAGTAGACTGCTGCAAGCGGCCGGTGCAAATTGGCTATACTCCTCGCGTCCATGCATCAAGTTTGGTTGGGGGGGTGTTGTACTACGGTTTCCACTTGGAGGGCCCCTTGTTTGTGTTGCTACATTAGACTAGATTATGCGAAGACTATATTCGGCAACGACAACTATGCTGTGGGTTGTGTCGTGTCTCGTGGAGATCGGTCCTGGGTCCTGATTGAAGAATGACCGACAAACGAAGAGCTGTGGTGTGTTGTCCCAATGCTTTATCATCTCTGAGGGTTGGGAAATAACAGAGAGGGCCTCCCGAGAAGAATCGAGGCTCTCGCTGTTGGACGGGTCGAATCAAACACCACAAGCCGTGCCCTCGCCTACCTTTTGTATCCACCGATCTCAGACAAGCAGCATGTGTCGAGCGCGTGATGGTTAGTTTTCACAGCTGCACGTCCGTCAAGTTGCAGCTGCTTTCGTGTATGCACATACGTCACAACTGCACGTTCGACCGCTGCTGCATGACAGACGTACCAGCGAGGTCTCTCAGCTGCAGTACCCTGTGGTTGGCACGTGGCGCAGAGGATGCGTATGAGACTACCGAGTTGGTAGGGTACACCAACGTGTTTCAGGTGGAGAAGAGGGGAGGTGACTACTCTCCTAGAAGCGAGAGGCGGTTCCTGAGAAACTTCACCGCGCCCAAGCTCTTCGTTAGNCTGGTGTACCCTTCCATCTCGGTAGTCTCATACGCATCCTCCGCCTGCTGATCTCCAGCCGGGCGCTCCGCTGGTCGATCTCGAGCCACACACCCTCCGCTGGTGGTACCGCAGTAGGTACCTGCAGTGCCTGCGCGTCACAAATGAAGGAACCATCCGGCAGTGCCACGGGCGTATCCTGAACCGNCTCGTTCAAGGTAGTGGACGTGAAGAAGATCGGAACTGACTGCCAAAAGGCAGACATGCTAACGAAGAGCTTGGGCGCGGTGAAGTTTCTTAGGAACCGCCTCTCGCTTCTAGGAGAGTAGTCACCTCCCCTCTTCTCCACCTGAAACACGCTGGTGTACCCTTCCATCTCGGTAGTCTCATACGCATCCTCCGCCTGCTGATCTCCAGCCGGGCGCTCCGCTGGTCGATCTCGAGCCACACACCCTCCGCTGGTGGTACCGCAGTAGGTACCTGCAGTGCCTGCGCGTCACAAATGAAGGAACCATCCGGCAGTGCCACGGGCGTATCCTGAACCGGGTCCTCATCAGCAGCGCGCTCCTCGGGCAGCGCCGCAGCAGGCACCTGCAGTGCTTGCGGGTCGCAGACGACGAGGCCATCCGGCAGCGCCGTCATAGGAGCATTGTGCACCTGCTCGACTTCAGCGCGCGATCCTCTGGCAGTGCCGCAGCAGGCACCTGTAGTGCCTGCGGGTCGTAGATGAAGAGACGATCCGGCAGTGCCACGGGCGTATCCTGAACCGGGTCCTCGTCAACAGCGCGCTCCTCTGGCAGCGCCGCAGCAGGCGCCTTCAACTCCTGGGCGTCATCACCGAAAGCGATGGCGAATTCTTCAAGCTCATCGCCGGCCACCTCTACCCGCGTGAACTATGCCTGCGTGGTGGAGTCCTCTGTGGTGTGCGCCTTTTCTTTGGCATCCTCAGCCTCGTTCCTCAGGCGAAGCGGGCAGTCGTACCACCCATGCTCGGTGGAGTTATGACAGTACCGGCAACATCCCTTGTGCGTTCCCGCACCTTTCCCCCCAGAGGCTTGGCTGCCGCGATCATTCCCGCGTGCGCCCTGCGCATTTCCCGCGCGGGCTCCTCCGCAGTTTCCGCCGCCGTTGTTGCTGTTGTTCCCGTCCGAGCTGGTCGAACCGTTCGCAGTTTTGCNATCCCTTGTGCGTTCCCGCACCTTTCCCCCCAGAGGCTTGGCTGCCGCGATCATTCCCGCGTGCGCCCTGCGCATTTCCCGCGCGGGCTCCTCCGCAGTTTCCGCCGCCGTTGTTGCTGTTGTTCCCGTCCGAGCTGGTCGAACCGTTCGCAGTTTTGCCGCCATTTCCTCTGTTGAGTAGCTTTGTGCGCCCGGCGCAGTTGTAGACGGCAAAAATAAACACAAGACAGCTACCAAACTGATTTGTTGAGCCTGTTACCCGCAGGGGAGATGTCCCTATATGCTGCCTGGGAAATCGTAGACATACAGGTAGTTTTCTCTGACGCTATGATTCCATTGTTAATCTGTTTATGACTCTTTTCTATGATAGAGATGGACTCGTTGTGTCACATAAGAAAAATAAAAAAATACAAGAACTGCGCGGCGAGTTTGCCGGCAAGGATAAAATGCAGTAAACTGCCCGCGGATGTGGTAACCCGTCGCATCTGTGATGTTCCGGAGCGTGATGGCTCTGATGTGTTGAAGCTGGTGCTGTGATAGCTGTTGTGATGACGTGATAACCTAGAGGCGTGAAAGCCTGGCAGTGTGATAGCCGGTGGATATGTGTGGACACGGGCGTGATAGCCCAGAGCGTGATAGCCGGGAAAAGGAAGACGAAAATTATCCAAGGGCACGTGGTCAACACCGTTGCAGGCACGTATACCCAGGAAACAACAATATGTGGCAAAGATGGTCCTACCATTCCCCCAATATACCACAACTGCGGAACCCCGAAAATTCCCCGCTCCATCTTCTCGGAACGTTCCTCGGTTGCAATAATCTGTCAATGCTGTGAGTACATCCAACATCCTCGGCGACCGCCGCGACCGCCGCGTCCGCCGCGTCCACCGCGTTTGCGGAAACCACGTGCACCTCCGTGCGTAACAGTGTTCAACGCACGGCCGTGGATGCCTCAACCGTCATCATGGTCAGACACTTTCCCGTGGATTTCTTGTCAAGAGCTACGAACACAGCTCGTCCGTCACCATACTCCTCGTCCCCGACAGGTCCGTACTGCTGTACTACCTGCGAAGCTGGGCTGGAACATCCGTCCGGGTCGTCCGACGTGGCCAGCAGCAACCGCGTGTACAACATGCCGTTCTTCTCTTGGAATTTGAGGACGGCTCTCTCGTGCGCGGAAGTAGCTGCAGAGGTCGCTCCCTTTTTCAGAGGATCGGGAGCCGTCTCCGCGCCAGACAGAATCTTATGCAAGCCAGCCTCAGACAGTAAGGATCTCGTCAGGGTCACCTAGCCCGGGAATTCGGCCGCATTCCCACTGAACGGCACATATCCTCGTTGCAGATAGTTAGAAGGTTGCGTTGCGGACGCTATGTGACTTTGTCGTAGTTCCCTTACCGCACGAGGCTCGTAACCTGACAGACGTGCCAGCGAGGTCTCTCAGCTGCAGTACCCTGTAGTTGGCTTGTGTGACAAGAGGCTTGGGTAGAGAAACAGAGAGTGATATATTATCCACACACAGACACGCGAGCTGTCTTCACCTGACGGTTACAGACTCGGAAACACGCCTTCACAATGCCGAATATGACACACACAGCAGNTTTTAAAGATTGCGTTGCGGACGCCATTTGACTCGTCGTAGTTCCCTTACCGCACGAAGCTCATAACCTGACAGACGTACCAGCGAGGTCTCTCAGCTGCAGTACCCTGTAGTTGGCTTGTGTGGCAAGAGGCTTGGGTAGAGAAACACAGAGTGATTTATTGTCCACACACAGACACGCGTCCAACTTAGTATTATTATTGTTGAAATACGGCAGATGGTGCCGGAAACAAACACACACACACCATTTACCCGCTGGCACTGACGTCTTTTAATTGGTCAGCCGGTTAGCGCGGTCGATGCTAATAATTAAAACACACACTACTGGCGAAAGTACTAGGTGATAGCCTTGGTAGACGCGTGCATTTTTCGTCTGTTGCTGCTGTTTCTGTTTTTGATCCGAAGGATAGTTTAGCCTCCCCCATGCTGCCCCCTCACGGGGTCCCAGTTCATGGTAGATAGAAGTGTTTTGTGTTTTCAACCGCACTAAGACTGACGTCTTTTCATTGGTCAGCCGGTTAGCGCGGTCGATGCTAATAATTAAAACACACACTACTGGCGAAAGTACTAGGTGATAGCCTTGGTAGACGCGTGCATTTTTCGTCTGTTGCTGCTGTTTCTGTTTTT